ATATACTTACATTCCTGCAATGCCGTAAAGTTAAATAGTTAATATTTAGGAATGGAAAACAACCCCCCTTCAAATATCACTTAAGATATGTGCGTCCACTACCCAATATTCCATTTACATTGTGAGCGAAAGTCAAGAATAATTTTGTGCAATTTAATGAAAATGCACAATGCAAAAAGCAAAGCACCCAATAATGAAACAAGGATGAGATAAAAGCACAAAGGTGAAGAGCACAATCTGCATAAGTAGGCCTGGGCCAACTGAGGCTAGCAACTTCAGACTTAATTGTCCATTTCCACTTCTCTTTAAGCTTATTTACTCGAGTGTGTGGAAAAGTGCGTCAAAGTGGGCTTACAAATATGAAGATCTGAACCCAGTTTGAAGCCCACATGAATAGTAGCAATGCCACCATACGCTAAGGGAATTAAAGAAAAGATCAAACGCACATATGTCTGGAAAGGGCTAAAACTGGACAAAGACCTCTAGCCATTGCTCACAAGTTAAAACGGTTAGCCATGTACAAGTTATATATCGATAAATATAACAATGACACCGTATACACGTGTTGATTCAAAATAACGACACGCTATTTACAGGCCAAAAACTGATTTAAGAGGAGCAAAACGAACTCTAATTCGACTTCCAATAAATCAAAAGTCTGGAAAAAAGGAGGAATCCCACCTACCATAAACACCAGCAGAAAATACGCGCAAAACAATCGAGAACCACCTTCACGAACGAATCAGGTGCGCACATGCAAACCCACGTGAGCCGCCCACAGGCAAAACGCGCAATTCATAACAAATTCAAACAATGCATCTCCAAGCTAAAAAAAGGTTTTCGCATAAAAGGCGGAAACTGTTGCACTATTCAGAAGTTTTTACTTGAAAGCAAAACAACTAATATAGGGTTCATATTAAAATCCATTTAGATTTTAGCAAAAAAACCTATAAGTAAAGTTGAAAACAGTTTTTGATGACCCTAGTAAGCAAAACGTAATATTTCTGTTAAGTCTTTATGTGTAAAACTTATTTTAGGTGTAAATTGGAGAAATAGTACAGTGCCTCATGCGAATAATGAATCTGCAATAGACTATACAAGTGTCAAGCACCATTTACAGATAACATACTTAATGTTTGAAAGAGTAAGGACTTAAAATTAAATTGATTAAGGGCAATAATGAAGTACTCATGGTAAAAGTCCTGCTGTCTACAAACTGCTTCGTTCGAAACGCACAAATCCATACTTAACCAATACTTGTTTAAAACACTATGATACAACCTTAAAAGGCACTCCACTGCTGATTTTCGAAGATAAGATATTGCCTACAAACATGGAAAAGAAAAGCATACAATGGTATACACAACGACAACATAAAGGGAAGCAGGGAAGACCGTGCTTGAAAGACAAAAGGGCTACAGAATGCTTGTGCTGTTTAAATGTACCCCTAAGGGAAAACAAGAGCAATCTGTGCTAACTTTGTGATGAATTCGACGCCAGGATTCCTAGAGGTAGAAAAGAGTCCAGCATCTCAACCACCATAAACTTGTACTGATTTTTGTCAGCTCTCAAAATAACCAAACCAATCGATCTCTTCGTTTAAAACGTATAAGAACCAGAGTGAAGAAAATAAACCAGGAAATAGCCACATATTTATATCTAATATTATTTACAGTACATTATTGTGACCACACAAAAATGTTACTGAATAACAAATGTCATTTTCTGCGTTTGCATTTGTTGCTCATTTTCTTTATTGGCATATCGATATGTAACTGCATCTTTTTTAAAAGATGACTTCTTATTGTAAAATGCGTGTTAGTACAACATTACAATTATTTCTTACAAATATTAGTCTACGAAATTGAGAACATTTTGATATTGTAATGCTTTTCTCATGCAAATGACTTTGCACAACAGTCACCTTCGTGGAGCTTTGTACCCACGATTTGGCGCTATAACAACCCAAGTGTTGTTGGACTTGGAATGCGACAGAAGTGCTGACAGGGTAAAAGCAACGGATCCCTTGCTGCTGGTATACATAAGGCAAGTGGGAAGATAGTTTGGAAATCCTCATAGAGGCACCACTGACTGCTCAGTCACAAGATATTTCAGATGATTTACGAATGTAAATAGCGTACCTGAAAACAGGGAATACGAATAGTTGCCGAGTGTCATTTGCAAGCATTCTGTTAAGAGTCAAAACGGATTATACAATACACAGTACCTGCACACGCACAGAAGTGATGGGGCTACTGGCATTTCCCGCAGTCCATGCTGCCCACCAGAAGTATAGGAACGAGGCCTCAAGTGCCCGCGTAACCTAGGTGATATAAAACGCTAATTGAAGCATCACATTGAGGCACAAGCAAAGTACACAAATGAATACCTCCAAACACTTGGCACAGGTGTACTCATCTTGCACGCGTTCCACCAATCCCAACGGTTTTCTCAAGATCGCTCGATGGCCTCTCAACGCACGATGCATGTGTGGTCCTGCATTCATTCTCACGAGTCTTATGTTAACCATAAATATCACTTCTTCGTG